AAAAAAAAAAAAAGAAACATTTTCTAACTAAGAGGCCCTAACACCTGAGTCCCACAGTCTCCCTTCAAGCTGGTATTGCTCGGTGTTGTCAAGAATGATTTTTTGGGGGGCGGCCAAGTGGCTCAGTTGGCCAAGAGTGTGAGCTCTGAGCAACAGGGTCATTGGTTCAAGTCCCACATGGGCCAGTGAGCTGCTCCTGAGCTGAGCTGCCAATTGGTGGCAGGATGGCTCAGCTAGTGAGAGCACATGCTCCTAACAACAAGGTTGCTGGTTCACTGCCGTGGGATAGAGGCTACGCCCACCTGCAACTAGATTGAACACAGCACCTTGAGCTGAGTGGCCGCGAGCTGCCAACCGGCAGCCAGATGGCAACTGGACCTGGAGCTGAGCTAAGTGCGCCCTCCACAACTCAGATCAAAGGACAACAACTTGGCTGTTCCATTTCCCCAATTCCCGAATAAAATCTTAAAAAAAAGAAAAAAATGATTTTTTTTTAAAGATCACATTTTACAAAGTCAAAAGGCTTAGGGTAGCCAAGTTTCCAGTGTAATCAGCTTCATTTTTTTCATTTCCCAGACTTCAGAGTCCCTTGATCAAAATACTGAGATTCTAACCTTTTCCACATCTCACATGTTTCTTCAGAACTATATTGGCCATATTTGAATAGGTATATAATTTTTAATAGCTTTCAGCTATTAGACATTTCACAACTGTTTCTCTAAGATATTTTCAACTGCCAATGCAGACGTTTTTGCTACAATTGCAGGTGAAATAAATAATCATTCCCTAGCAAAGAAAGGAGATTACCTAATCCTTTATCTCTGGTACGATACCCCCATTCCACATGTTCTCCAACGAGACCACTATAAATGCTGTCCCCATAGGAAATGTTTCTTGGTATAAGTGACTCCCTTTTTCACATAGATGTCAAATTCCTAAAAAGCAATTGAATATATCTTAGAATAGAGTAAAACATATTATCCGGAAAAAAACAGTGTTACTCCTGGGTTGGACACAATTACTAATTACATAGACAGGGATGTTTACTGTGGGAACCAACAGCAGAGCTCTATACTTGTTCACTTGCTCAAGTCACCCAACCTCCCTCAACCCATCTTCCCCATTATGACCCCGTCTGGAGTTTTTTTCTCTCTTGTCATTGCCCAATGAAATATACTGAAGCCCACAAAATTGACTTCAGTTCACATGTCTATGACCAGAAATAAGATAAGATTTATTAGCTTCCAGGTAATCAGTGGACGCACTGGGTATCAGACTGACAAGGTTTCATGTGTATTTTGATTTTGCTGCTTTGGGAAGCATCTGAGGATGTCTCTAAATATTTCTGAGATCCATGGAATCTGCCCTTTAAAAAGAGCGAGGCCCCATTTCTTCATAGGAATTTTGGGGCACCATTTCCCAGCGCCCCGCAAGGGGCATCCTTGGCCTGTGCCCTGAGGTCTGGAGCGGGCGCACCTCACCGAGGTCGGTGGGACTACCTTACCCAGGTGCCCTTGGGCTGTGCGTCTGCAGCGCTAGGCCGGTGAAGGTCGAGGAAAAAGAAGCTTCGTACCTGGTGGAACGCTTTGAGGCGGGACTTCCGGCGTCCTCCTGGCGGCGGTGAGTTTGTTGGCTTTTGGGTGTGTCTGCTTGATCAGATTCTTAACTCTTGATTCTGCCCCAGCTAAAGTAAGCGGGAAGGGACGAGGAGACGTTGTCCAGAGCACATTACAGGCGGGTCTGTGGCTCGGAGAGGGCGCAGCCTGGGGTGACTGTGTGCGGGAGAATGGATCGGGGTGGAGGTTTGGCTGAGTTCGCGGAACCCGCGACTTCCAGCTTCGCTCTGCCCCAGGCTCTCAGGCAGTTGCGCCGAGCCGACCCAGCGCTGGTTGATGCTAAGTGCCCCAGGCTCTCACCTGCCTGGACCCACGCCTCCGAACCCTAAAGCCCGGAATGAGGGGCGCCTGCCCAGGTCACCGCAGCTTGTCCCCTTTGTTCAGGAAAGTGGAGCGTTCCTGAGTGGTATCCCCATTTCTGATACCCAGTGTGATGAGTAGAAGAGTGTTACATGCAGAGGGACCAGCATATGCAGAAACCTGGACGTGCGATTGAGGTGCATTCGTAAAACCTAGGGTAAGTCTCCTATCTATGGGAAACGTTGTTTGCGGATCAGCCATATGTGCAATGGAAGTTCCCTGCGCAGCTGGGCATGTATTCTGAGGACGCTGGTAGCCGTGGAGGGGTTGTGAATGGAGAGAGATTAGACCTGAATTAGAATTCTTAAAGGACACTCAGAGGAGATCAGACTTGGGGGGAGGAGATTGATTGAAGTGCAGATGGCGTGACTCTGCGGACGCTAATTCACCAGACTCCATGAAAGATGCCATGGGGGCTGGACCAGAGAGGTGCCTGTAGAGCGCAGAAAACTGATCCAATTTGGAGATTTTTTAAAAGTTTTTTTTAAATTAGTTTCAGGTGTACAAAACAATGTACTAGACATTTACACCCCCTCATACAGTGATAACTCCCCTCCCCCAATCTACTACCCCTCTGACATCGTATATAACTGTTACAATTCCATTTTATTCTATTCCCTATGCTGTACTCCATATCCCAATTAGGAGATTTTTAAGGATAGAAAACTAGCATCCATTCAGCCTGCACTAGCTCCCCCCCCCGCCCCATTTTTATCTTAGGAGTTTATGAAACAAGTACTCATTTCAACATTAAGAGATCAAATTCTTCTAAATGTGTACATGTAGGTAGGCAGTAAATACTCAAATGTATGAATTTAACAAGTTAACTTTATGCAAGCACTTAAATAATTCACACCTTAATATACCACCAAGCAGTATATTAGGACACTAAAAAAATCTTAAAATACCAAATTTTCTTAAATACTTAAAAGGTAAATATAACACACATTTCAAAATCCCATCAAATCATTTGGCCTGAAAACATTGACAAAAGCCGTAATTCTGTGGAGAGGAGTAGTTCCTATTTAGCACTTGATATACTCTAATGCACTTGATACCAACACCAGCCCTGTGAGGTTGGTACTATTCTTATGGCCATTTTACAGATGAAGACACTGAGGCACAGGGAGGTGGAATCCTAACCCAAGGTCACGCAGCTATTCAGAGAAGGCACCAAGGACTGAAGCCCAGAAATTAAAGACAGTCAGCTGGAGGACACCTTGCTTCAGGGTTGGCGTAAGGTGTTGGGTCCGCCCTTGGGTCCCCCGTGGATGCCCTTCACTCACAGCCTCACTTTCCCACAGGTTTCCATGGCTTCAGAAACACTTAGGAGCCATGCAGAGGTGAGTAAAGATTGTCTCAAGCCCTCACCCTCCCCACCGCCCACTCATGGTCTCTGGGACATGTTCTGGACTCTGTGCTTGCCACTCTGCTGCCACTGGTTCTGAGGCCTCTCCCCAGACTCGGGACCCTGACCCAGGCCAGAGGTGATATAAGAGTCCCAATTTTTGGCCACCACTAGACTATCCTCTAGAAGGTATTACAGGCATAGGGATCATTATGTGCAACCCTCAGAGGTGAGTGGCAACCCAAATTCTCCATTATGTCTTGTGGGACCCGAGGGCCTGGATGCAGGAATCAGGCCTGAAATGGCAGGCTGAGGAATTGTGCCTCTATTCCGAAAGTACTGGGAGCCTTGGAAGTTTTGGCGTAGGAGACGGGAGTGATCTGAATCAGGTTTTAATGGACTTTCTCTGGCTGCAGAGTGGAGAACAGACAGTAGGGGTGAGGGAGGCTACTGCAATAGTCTAGATGAGTGTTGCTGACAGCTGGACCAGGTTGATGGCTGGATCAGGATAGTGGCTGTGGATGTGGGACCAAGCATATGGCTTCTGGATTTTTTTTTTTTTTAAGTAGATCCAACAAAACTTTCCGATGCGGAGAGTGAGGGAGAAGGGGAGGAATCAGGGATAAGCCAAAGTTTTGGCCTTTGCAGCTGGAAGAGATGCTGTGAACTGAAATGGGGAGGAGTAATTTTCAGAGGGAGTACCAGGAGTTAGGTTTCTGCCATTGAACCTGAGATGCTGCAGAGACTCCCTAGTGGAGCCATTGAGTGGACCGCAGAGCACCCAGGTCTGTGGTTCAGGGGAAGGATTCAGGTGGGAGACCCTACAAGTTGGTGGCCTGTGTATGGACTGGTGTGGAGCTGTGAATCACATTTAGGAGGGGGGGTCTTCAGGTTAGAGTGACAGTGTTGTTAGGGGGCAAAGAAGGGGAGGGCCAGATTGGAGGACTGGGCCTCTTGAGCACCTGAATGGCTGGTATCGGTGAGCATCACAGAGGCAGGTGAGGGAAAGTACTTGCTGTGGAGAGCTGGGTTTGGTAGTGGATCGTGGACCAAGGCTTCCAAAGGAGAATGAACATGGGTGGATGAGGAAACACAGCAGTAATGGGGGTGAGATGACAGTGAGGCCAAGGCCAGTGCTTATTCACACCTCTAAAGGCTCACAAGAGTTTTGTGGGGACCCTTGCTGGGGCTTATGGGGTTTCACTCAGGTTGGCATATAAGCTCAAAGACAAATGGGTCAGCTGGGAGAGTAGCTAGGCCTGGACTTGGGAACCGGCGGTGCTGAGTGGTGAATGAGGCTTGGGTGGAAAGAGGAAGGCTGAGACTTGTGAGGAGACAGCTTGCGCAGCACAGCAGGAGAAGAGAGCTTAAGTATCTGACACCTGCATGTGGTTCTGGGTGACTGAGGCTGAGCTAAGGAACAGGGTATGGTGGAGAGGCCTTTAAAGCAGGACCAAAGGCTCCCCCTGCCAGTGTGGGCCATCGGGGCTCAGGAGCAGGATGGAACTCTCTGGATGCCACGTGCAGAGTGGCATGTGGGGAGGCCAAGGAGATGCCTTTGGTGTGGGCTAGGGTGGAGGAGGTGGCGGTGGTGAGGGCTCAGCGATGTGAGGGAGATGTGGTTTACAGAGTGACGGGCCCAATGGAGAGAGTGAGAACTAAAGGTCCCAGGGACTTGCTCCCAGCAGCTGAAGGGAGAACACTGAGCCCATGTTTGGTTGTGTCTGGGAGGCATGACCTGGGAACCCCTGCTGGCATGGATGGCATTTACTTATTTGCCTTCATGCCTGTAGTTGATGTAGGGTAACGTCATGATTAATAGCAAAGAGGAGAGAGCTGGTATCGTTGGCATCTGGGCTTGGGTATCCTGTAGGTTGTGGAGCTGGAGAGGAGGGTGGGTAGGGAGTGGCTGTTTGGGGGATAAACTGAGGGTCCTGGTGAGAGGTTGCTTAGGGACACTACTTTCCCCATGGAGGGTGGTGTGACCTTTGCAGATGTGGCCGTGGACCTGTCTCAGGATGAATGGGGGCTTCTAGATGGGGCTCAGAGACTCCTGTACCGTGATGTGATGCTGGAGAATTTTGCACTTGTGGCCTCACTGGGTAAGTGCCTCCCACTCACCCCAGTATCCTTGACTAGGCTCTTTCCTTCCTCGTTTCTCCAAGGGCCACTCTTTCCTCTTTCTAGCCAGAGCAGGACAGTGCTTCCTTCGTAGGTTTTCTTGCATAGGTGCTGCGGGTGCCAGGTTGGGCTGAGTGCACTTCTCCGCCCTCTCCCTGAGCAGCCCTTCAGCAGCCCTGAAGTCTTGCAGTGAAGCCAGTAGATCTAATCAGACTTGGCCTCACCTTGGCACAGTGACTGTCCAGATTAATTGCACCTCTCTGCCCCAGATTCTGCCCCCTTCCCTCCAGGTGACATTTCCTTATGCCTGACTGCCTGGAATTGCAGGTGCCAACATGGTCACTTCTTATGGGGATCACTGAGCTATTCCTGTAAGACACTTCTCCAAGGTTCTTTCTGTAATATTAGTTTTCTTTCCTCTGTGTCCATGGGGTGGGTTGTTCTGTGCCAGTGCTGACCACTCACCTGCCTTGTCCTGCCCTTAGGACTTACATCTTCCAGGTTCCATGTAGTTGCCCCACTGGAGCTGGGGGCCTGACAAGGCAGACATGACTCCAGCCACAGCAAGAGGGGGGCTGACCTTGGGAAGTGGGTGAGGGTTGGCTCAATATCAGGCCCAGGTTCAGATCATACCATGAACCTCTCCAGTGCCCATCATTGTTTTCATACCAAGGACAGGGGCCATAACTTATTTCTGTCTTTTAATTCTCGTTCTTGACATTTTATCCACTTGTCATTTCTACCCTGACTCCTGGGCAGGGCTCATCCACACCTGTCTCTAGCCTTCATGTCTCCCCTGTTCCTCTCCACTGCTCCCTCTGATGTGTTCTCCAACACTAAGCTACACATAATGGGTGAGATGTGTACATACCCTGAACAGTCCATGAACACCAGCTACTCAGTTGCAGTCGCTTTTCTCTTTTGTTCAGTGCTTGTGTCATCAGCAGACAATCCCTGCTGAAAGCTTTTGCAGAGAAGTGAGTTGAAGACCCAGTCTCTCCTTCCTGTGCTGCATCCCATGGTCGTGTCCTTTCCCCCCAGTAGACCTCCCTACTGCCCGGTCTTGCCAGGCTCAGTACTGCACAGCAGACCCTCTCTCACCCTAACTTCAGAACCCTTGTCCTCCCAACAGTACTGTTACTCATCACTGGGTTTGTAAGGTAGACATTTGTAATGGGGTCGCCCCCTCCCACCAGTCTACATACACTTCACTAACATTTCTCTGCTTTCAGGTTTTTGGTTGCAAATGGAGGATGAGGAGGCACCTTCTCAAGGCCCGTCGCACTCCAGGGTTCCCAACACAGGTTCAACCACCCAGAAAACCTGCTCTTGTGAGACGTATGGCCCAGTCTTGAAAGACATTTTGCACCTGGCTGACCACCAGGGAATATTCCCCAGGCAGAAACTTCACACATGTGCAGCATGTGGGAGACAGCCCTGGTTCAGTGTAAGCACTCACCAGCAACAGAAGCGGCACAGTGGAGAGAAACACCCCAGAAGGGGTGAGGACTGGGCTTGGTTCGTTAAGGACTGCAGAGTCCACCTGTCAGAGACTGCCTTCACACGTGGGGGCGGTGGGAAGGATCTCCTGCCCAGCTTAGGCCTTCTCCAGCACCAGCCCACTCACAGCAAGGGGAATTCACCCGGAAGCACTGAGTGCAGGGAGGCCGTTCACATCGGAGAAGGGCATTATAGGTGCAATGAATGTGGGAAAGCCTTTATCCGCAAAAACAGACTTGCTGAGCACCAGAGAGTTCACACTGGAGAAAAACCTTATGGATGCATTGAATGTGGAAAATTCTTCAGCCATAAGTCCAGTCTTACTGTACACCAGAGAGTTCACATGGGTGTAAGGCCTTATGGGTGCAGTGAATGTGGTAAAGCCTTCAGCAGGAGCTCCACTCTTGTTCGGCACCAGAGAGTTCACCCTGGAGAAAAACCTTATGAGTGTCGTGAATGTGGGAAAATGTACAGCGGAAGCAGCCATCTTGTTTTGCATAAAAAACTTCATACTGGAGAACAGCTTTATGAATGCAGCAAATGTGGGAAAGCCTATAGCAGCAAGCACACACTTGTTCAACACCAGAGAGTCCACATTGGAGAAAGGCCCTATGCGTGCAGCAAATGTGGGACATTATTTAGCCACAACTCCAGCGTTATTGTACATGAGCGAGTTCACAGCAGAGCAAGGCCTTATGAATGCAGTCAGTGTGGGAAATTCTTTAACCATTACGCCAACTGTATCACACATCGCAGAGTTCATATCACTGCAAGGCCTTATAGATGTGGCAAATGTGGGAAAGCCTTCAGCTACAAACATAGACTTGTTCAACGTCAGAGAATGCACACCGGAGAAAGAGTTCATGAGTGTAGTGAATACGGTAAACCTTTCAGCCAGAAATACAGACTTGTTCAGCACCAGAAAACCCATACTAGAGAAAGACCTTATGAAAGTAGTGAATGTGTGAAACTCTTTAAGCAAACCTTGGGCCTTTTTGAACACCAGAGAACTCACACTGGACCTTACAAGTGTATTGAATGTGGAAAATCCCTTAGCCACAAAATCACACTTGTTCAGCACCAGAGAATTCACACTGGAGAAAGGCCACATAAGTGTACTGAATGTGGGAAATTTTTTAGCAAAAGCTCTGGCCTTATTGCACATCAGAGAGTTCACACTGGTGAAAAACCATATGAATGCATAAAATGTAGGAAATTTTTTAAGCAAAGATCCAGCCTTGTTGTACACCAGAGGATTCACACTGGTGAGAGACCTTATGAATGCAGTGAATGTGGAAAAGCCTTTAGTCTTAAATCCACACTTGTTAAGCACCAGAGAATACACACTGGAGAAAAGCCTTATGAGTGCAGCAAATGCGGGAAATTCTTTAGCCATAAGTGCAACCTCAGTAGACATCAGAGAAGTCACATTGTTGAAAAGCATTAAAGTACAGTGAATGTGGGACAGCCTTAAGCTAATGGCCTTTCCTCATTTGGTACCAGAAAGTTCAACCTGGAGAAAGGCCTTTGGAGTGGAGGGTGTGTGCTGTTGGCTTGGTGAGTGTGATTGACACCAGTTCTGAGAGGAGTCTTTATGACGTAGCCATCAACCAAGAATTGAATCGCATACATCTGAACATCCACACTGGGGAGATTCCCTGTGAGTGCTGGGTATATGGGAAGATTTCAGGACCTGCATTGTACTTGCTGACCTGCCCAAGGCCCTTGCCTGAGTTAAATCACTGCCAATACCTGTGGCAAAAGCCATTCCACCTCTACCAGCTGGTAAATGTGCATCATGTTACCCAGTGTGCTAAGGGAAGGCAGATCTTTGTATTCTTCCCTTCCCTGAAAGAAATCATGAGTGTTCTGAGGTTACTGGAGTCCACCAAAATTACATTCACACAGTGGGTGTGATTAATACAGAGTTGGGGGTGAGCAAACTAGAGATGTGCCCCATCTATTTCTAGTGCTTCCAGAAATAGTATGGTCACCATAGGGATGAGTATGTACAGGTATCCTCAGGACTTCTAGATTTACACCTCTCCTCTCCTATGGACAAGGTCACTGGTAGAACAAATAATCTTAAAGTTTTCTGGATTCCTGAGGCTACTTGGGCTATTTACCTCAAAGCCACTGTTACTCAGGCAAGAAAATGGAGATTGAGGAATATCGTGGTCCAACAATGTGATTCACAATCGGTATTGCATGCTCGTATTTACTTCCATTGAAGCAAGGCTGCCCTCCCTGATGGATGAGGATAGTTATGGTCAAAGCAATATGTCAAATCTGGTTTTTCAAGAGAAGTTTTATGTGGAACCATTTTTTTAAAGATCAATTGAGATATAATTGACATGCAATAAATTGTGCATGTTTAAATTATAAAGTATATGTATGCTCATGAAACCATTACTGTAATCATGATATTGAATATATCCATCACCTCCAGAATTACCTCATCCCCTTTTACAATCTCTCCCTCCCTGGCTCATTCCCATGATCATTAATTTACTGTCTTTCACTATAAACGTTCTTTTCTAGAATTTTATATAAATGGAAAAACAAAATGTTTACTCTCTTTTTGCCTCCCTTCCCCCCCCCCATACAACATAATTATTTTCAGATTCTAACATGTTGCACGTATGAGTATTTTTGTTACAGGGTAGTACTCATATGGGTATGCTGCAATTTGTTTTTCTATTCATTTTAAATGGACATTTGGATTGATTCTGGTTTGGAACTGTTACAAATAAAGCTGTTATGGACATTCATGTACTGGTCTTAATCTTGGGTTAATACTTAAGAGTAAAAGGCTTAAGTGTCTCATTTGTACCCATGACATTTTAATTTATTGAAGTGATTGAGTGTCAACACGGAGAGGTCAGTATCTTTCAAAGCAGAATTTATTATATTTCCCAAGGGAAGGGGGGCACACCATGTCACACAGGGCCACATGAAGAGCACCAGTGTTGGTCAGGAGGCTGAAAAGAGTGAGGGAAAGGCGTAGGCCACAACCTTCATTGGGGTTTTCGTGGGAGGGGCAAGGCAGGGTAAAGTGTTTAGGGTTGGGTTACAATAATTCCAGCAGGTTTTGGATTATAGGATTGGTCTCTAGTTGTCTGATACCTTGCCCTGGGATGGTTCAGGGCAGGGGAAATATTGGCTTGGTGCATGACAGATAAGGAGGTGGTTGGGGCTATAGACTTGGATTAGTTGATTTGTATATGAGAGACATGCTCCTGGCTAAACCATTTGTTATCTCAAGAATGGGATACGTGGGAGGGGTGGTCTCTCCCTGACCTACAAGCATTTTAAGATGTCAAAACAAAAAAGTACAAAAATAATTTTAAAACGGAGGCAAAGGGTAAGCAGATGTGTACCTTTTTATGAAGTGACAAACTGAAAGTGTTTATACCATTTTACGTTCCCACCAGCAGTGTATGAGAATTTTGATTGTTCTATGTTTTCACCAGCACTTGGGATGGTCAGTCTTTAATTTTAGCCATTCTTTTTAGGTTTGTAGTGTGGTATTTCTCTGTGACTTCATTTGTATTTCCCTAATGACTAATGTTATTTAGTATGTTTACATGTGCTTACTGTCATCCCTCTATTTTTTAAAAATATATTTTTGTTAAAATATAGTTAACATGCAATATTATGTTATTGGGTTGTCAGAAAAGTCATGATGTATTTTTTTCTATGTTTTTCATTGTAAAAATGCATCATGACTTTTCCAACAACCCAGTAGTTTCAGGTGTACATCACAGTTCTTCAACAGTACCCACCTGGCACTATACATTGTTATTACCATATTAGTTATTATATTCCCTATGCTAAAGAAGTGATCACCATGATAAGTTCAGCAACCACCTGACACTGTACCATGCGATCACAATATTATTGACTATATTTCCTATGCTATATATTACATCCCCAAGACTTATTTGTTTTATACCTGGAACTTTGAGCCTATTATTTCCCTATATCTTCCCCCCCCCCTTTTTTTAAATTTTCAATTACAGTTGATGTTCAGTATTATTTTATATTAATTTTAAGTGTACAGCATAGTGGTTAGACATTTGTATAATTTACAAAGTGATCCCCCTGACTAGTACCCATCTGGCACTATAGTTATTACCATATTATTGATTGTATTCCTGATGCTTTACATTTCCATGACTATTTTATAACTATCAATTTGTATTTATTATCCCTTCACTTTTTTCACCCTGCCCCTCCAAACCCCTCTCATCTGTCACCCCAATAAATCTAATACCCATCTGACGCCATACATAGTTACCACAATATTATTGACTGTATTCCTTATGCTGTACCCTACATCCCCATGACTACTTTGTAACAACTAATTTGTATTTCTTAATTCCTGCCCCTTTTTCACCCATCCTCCAATCCCCCTCCTATCTCTCAATCATCAAAATGTTGTTTTATCTACAAGTTTGATTGTTTCCTTTGTCTTATTTTAAGATTCAACTTAGAAGTGAAATCATATGGCATTTGTTTGTCTTTTGCTGTTTGACTTACTGCACTCAGCACAATACCCTCTAGGTCCATCCATGTAGTTGCAGATGGCAAGATTTCATTCTGGCAAGATTTCATTCTTTTTTACAGTTAATACATACATATATATATATATATATATATATATATATATATATATATATCACCTCTTCTTTATTCATTCATCCATTTAGGTTGCCTTCATATCTTGGCTATTGTAAATAATGCTGCAATGAACATATGGATGAGCACATCCCCTCGAAAGTAGCATTTCGGGTTTCTTCAGATAAATACCCAGAAGTGGGATTACTAGGTCTTTCTTTTGTCTCTTGTTAAGTCTTTGTTTTAAAGTCTTTTGTTTGATTTAAGCATTGCTACCCCAGCTTTTTGTTTTTTCCATTTTCATAAAAGATCTTTTTCCATTTCTTTACTTTCAGTTGTGTGTGTCTTTCCATCTGAAGGGAGTCTCTTGTAGGCAGCATATGTAAGGGTCTTGTTTTCTTATCCATTCAGCCCGCATATCTTTTGATTGAAGCATTTAATCCATTTATATTTAAATTAATTTTTGATAGATATGTAGTTATTGCTATTTTATTCATATTTTTAATTTTTTTTCTTAACGAAGTCCCTCTAAGATTCCCTGTAATACTGGTTGGGTGGTGATGAACTTCTTTAGCTTTTTCTTGTCTGGGAAGCTCTTTATCTGTCCTCCAACTCTAAACGATAGCTTTGCTGGGTAGAATACTCTTGGTTTGTAATTCTTTGCTTTTCATCACTTTGAATATTTCCTGCCATTCCCTTCTGACCTGCAAAGTTTCTGTTGAGAAATCAGTTGACAGTCTTATGGGAACTCCCTTGTAGGTAACTAACTGCTTTCCTCTTGCTGCTTTTAAGATTCTTTGTCTTTAATCTTTGGCATTTTAATTATGGTGTGTCTTCGTGTGGACCTCTTTGGGTTCATCTTGTTTGGGACTCTCTGTGCTTCCTAGGCTGGTATATCTATTTACTTCAGTAGGTAAGAAAGTTTTCCATCATTTTTTCTTCAAATGCATTTTTTTAAAAGATTTTTTAAAAAAGATTTTTATTGGGGAATTGGGGGGATGGGAACAGTGCTGGGGAATTGGGGGAAGGGGAACAGACAAGTTGCTCTCCTTTTGTTCTTCAGTCTAGTTGTGGAGAACGTTGCTTCACTGGCCCAAATTGGCACCATCATTGCGCTCTTCCCGGGCGAGGCACTTCAGTCGCCGGCTTCTGGACGGCCACTCACTGCGGCTGCTGGCTGCTCACGCTGGCTGCTGGCTACACATGGTAGCCCATGGCAACCCACTGCCACAGGGTCTTCAGCCTACGCCGTCGCCGGTGACTCACGGCAGCCTAGCTCCAGGTCGAGCCGTTGTTCAGCATCTTAGCTGTGGAGGGCAGTGTCACTGACCCTCATATGTGGGATCCGAACCGGGGCCCTCTGGCATCCCAAGCCAGTTCTTAACCATCACGCCACTCGGCCAGCCCTGAAAGATTTTTTATTGGGGAATTGGGGGAGGGGAACAGATAGTTGCTGTCCATTTGTTCTTCAGTCTAGTTGTGGAGGACGTGGCTTCACTGGCCCATGTTGGTATTATCATTGCGCTCTTCCAGGGTGAGGCAATCGCTCACCAGCAGTTGGATGCCCGCCCATGGCGGCTCACAGCAGCTCACGAAAGCTCAAGCCCACTGCCGGCCAGCCCCACTGCAGCCTACGTCATCACTGGCGACTCATGGCAGCCCAGCTCCAGGTCTAGCCGCTGTTTACTATCCTAGCTATAGAGGATGAAGCGTCACTGGCCCTTATATGTGGGATCTGAACCACATATCTGAGGGCCCTGCTGCTCAGAGCTGGAGTCCCAAGCCAACTCCCAACCAACGCGCCACTCAGCCGGCCCCCAAATACATTCTTAATCCCTTGCTTTCTCTCTCCTCCTTGTGGTACCCCTATGATGTGACTGTTGTTATGCTTGATGTTGTTCCAGAGGTCTCTTAAACTATTCTTATTTTCTTGGATTCTTTCTTTTTTTTCTTTCTTTTTTGCTGTTCTGATTAGGTGTTTTCTGCTACCTTGTCTTCCAAATTGCTGATCTGTTCCTCTGCTTCCTTTAACCTGCTGTTGATTCTTCCTAGTGCATTATTCATTTCAGTTACTGTATTCTTCACTTCTGACTGGTTCTTTTTTATGGTTTCTATGTCTTTTTAATGCTTGTTATCTCTTTGTTGAAGTTCCCACTAAATTCCTTGAGCATCCTTATAATCATTGTTTTGAACTCTGTCTCTGATCAGTTACTTACCTCTATTTTGTTTAGTTTTTTCTCCTTTTATTTGGAACACATTTCTTTGTTTCTTCATTTTGGCTGCCTCTCTGTTTGTTTCTATGTATTAGGTAGATCTACCATGTCTCCCAGTCTTGGTCAGGTGGCCTTATGTAGTACATGTTCTGTGAGGCACTGGCATAGTCTCCCTGGTCACCTACTTCAGGTGCTCCAGGTGTGTCTTGTGTGGGTTATGTGTGCCCTCCTGTTATAGTTGAGCCTTGATTACTATTGGCATGTAAGTGGGTGGGATTGACCCTTAGGCTGACTGTGGGGTTTGTCCACATCCACAGCTTATGGGCTGCTAGCGAGGTGTTTACCCCACTGAGTGAGATTTGCCCCAGTGGTCTCTAAAACCTGTTGAGACCACCCTTCATGTGTGCCACTTGTGGGGCTAATTGGGCAGTGTTCTGCTGTGGTCTGAAGTCAACCTCCAAGTATGTTGGTTTTGGGGCCTCTTGGGAGGAGCGCCTTCAGATTATTTACTGCCTGTGACTATTCAGGGACTACCTGGTAGGAGCTACAAAGTGATCTATGGTTGTTCACCACCTGTGCTAAATCTGGAGGCATGTGGGAGAGGCCAGACAACAAACCTCAGCTGTCTGCCACCAATACCAGGCCTGGGGTAGCTCTGCAAAAACCAGGACACCCCAAGGCCTCCTACCACCTGCCAGCTCCCTTAAGGTTCAGCCGCTAATAGAGCCTTGTGTGGAATGCAAGTTGGGTGAGGCAGGGTTTCAGGAAG